TGCGCACACTTGTTCGCACATTGCAGCAGAAATGCACGACACACTTGTAGTGCCATTACTTGTTAATTGCACTGCAAATACAGCAGGCAAAACGTGCGTCTTTGTCCACACGTTGAGGCAAAACAAAACCAAAAAACATGTGAGCTTCCAGCTCAAACTGAGTTCCTTGCCACGTTTGTCATGCGTAGGGAAGCCCGTTGAAATGAATGGGCAGATGTGTGGTAAATGCTGCAAAATGCACATAAACGTGAATAGACGAGACCCACATTCGAGTCCTCCACAAGAGTGAACAGGGCCTAAGGGAGAACATGTATCAGGACTGTGATGGCTTAAAATTGGACAATGTTTGCTCCTGTGTGTGAGAATGCATAGAGCTCTTCAGCAGCTTTTTAATTTGAATCAGAAAAGATCATTTATTATTAACATTTTTTATTTTTTAATGTATTTTTAGATAGTGCATGCATAAGTACCTGGATGTTTTTGACATCAGCCTCCTGTACAGCAATACTCAGACTGGGAAAAGGGACATCTGGGTGAGCCGTTCAGGGTGCTCTGCTCTGCATAGTGCTGTCTGTAACATACATACAGGAGGGCAGAGCAGAGGGATGAACTCAACAATCTTCTGCTGCGCCTTTATTGTCCAATCACACGTGGTGACAGGTCCAGGCCCTAGCTGTATTGTTTCAGTGCAGTGAAGTCTGCAGAGAGGACTTGGCTGTGCTGTTCGTATAAAAAGACTGGCTGTCCAAAGTCACAAATCAGCAAATAAATAAAACCTGTACTGAAAAAAAGCATGGAGGATGTTAGAGCTGATCTCTCCTTCTTTAAATGTTGGTTCCCTGTCTGTCATGATGATCCAGTTTCGATCTGCATACTTGATCTGGGTCATTTTTTCCAAAAGTACTGAAGCCAAAGACAGCCAGACAGCAAGCATTTTCAGAAGGAGGTGGCCTACATTTCTCTTCATTTCTCTTCAGGTTTCTTTCAAATAATTTTCTGCAAATTTGCAAATGTAATTCTGTACCTTTAGTGACACTAAACTCAGGAGATAAACCTTAAAAATGCATTAAAATACCTGAACTATTACCAAAAATTTATCTTATTTGTGTATAACTTGGCTGTAGATCCTCAAATCATCCCTGAATGTGTGCTGACACTGTCCTTCCTTCTGGAGGTTGGCTACTTTTGTTCTCCATAGTCCACGTGTGTGTTATAAAGTGGTCACCGCTCCAAGCTCGCTCCTGTGATGGACTACAATCTCTTGTTTAGTTTATTAACTTGTACTGAGATTGTAGTCCATCACAGGAGCGAGCTTGGAGCGAACAAAGGTCTAGTCACCAGTATTGATCTTTCTGTATCTCTATCTATCTATCTATCTATCTATCTATCTATCTATCTATCTATCTATCTAGACCCTTGGTTCTCAACTGGTGGGTCGTGACCCAAAAGTGGGTCGCGACCTCATGTTCAGTGGGTCACCGCATGCCTTCCCCTTTTCTAGGTGAGAGGCTCCTCAGCCTCCCCTAGTGCAGCACCATCAGTTATCATGCCAAGCAGCCATTCAGAATATGCTGCCCAGCATCGTGTGTCAGCTTGAGGTGGGCTATGGCGGCAAGGTCGCTCCATCCATATATGCATTGCTTACAGCTCCCTCATGTGTCCTGTAGAGGTGCCTGGGCCAGAATAATGCACTGTAACACGCAATCACACCTACTATGCATTCTGGTGTGGGAGGTATGTTGCATTGATATTCATTTGAATGGTACCCCAAACACACCTCCCACTCATAGTTCAATCACCCGCACAGTACCGCAATGCCGCGCGGTCCATTGCAGTGCGATTTGGGTCGCGACCTAATGACCATGGACAAATGGGGGTCCTGAGGTTACACAGGTTGAGAACCACTGATCTACAGTATCTAGCTGTTTTCTATTGCATGCTTGAAGGAGCAGTCCATCCAAAACTGATACTGGCAAGCTGAACACCTCACTGGTTTCTTATGTCTCTTCGGTTCTGCTTCTTGGTCCAATAACGTACCATGACCATAATGAGGGAATTTCACCATCCATGCTGGATAACGTCACGGTAAAGGAAACAGAGCTTAGTACTTTGGAGGGAAGACTTTACCACAGACAAAAGCTACCATTCCAACCTTCCTACCTTGGGAATGCCAGTTCCTTCACCTGCTGCTCATTTACGCTGTGGCAGGACAGCTTAGGCTCACCCAGTGGCGACTCTAGGAACAATATATAGGGGGGGGCACATAAGATACCACAGTCAAAACTGGGGTGGCACTAATAATTTTCACCACTAAATCATACCACTAAAAAAACCCTAATAGCACAGCTACCCCAGAGCCGATATTAACCCTGCACAGCTACCTCAGAGCCGATATCAACCCCACACAGCTACCCCAGAGCGACCATTAACCCCACACAGCTACGCCAGAGCGACCATTAACCCCCGCACAACTGCCCCAGAGCCGACATTAGCCCTGCAGCAGAGGGGGACCTGAAGTTTTACATCAGGTCCTCTTCTAGTGATTGACAGCAGCAGAATACTAGAGAAAAAAAACCCTCCAGATAGCAAAGAAGCTATTGCTTTCTGTGCTATCTCTGCCATCATTTCAGGGCGGTGCTCTCCTCCTCCCTGAAATGAGAAGGGCACCTCGCTGAAATTGCTTTCTTCAGGTTGGGATCCTTGTGATGGCGGTGTTTGTGACTACATTAGAATGGGTCACCGGTGACGTGGGTTTTAATGTAATCCCGCCCAGTTTTTTGGCAGTGGAATGTGTGACCGCCAATAGGGGAAGCATTCCAACGCTTTCTCAGCTGTTCCAGGGCAGAACGGCATCGCAAAGCGTATGTTTAGAAGACCTGATCTGCCCTGGAACAGCTGATCGGTCCTGAAAGGTCACTCCTATCCGACTTTGTGA